GAGGGTGGGGGTGGGGGGGGGAGGGGGGGCTGGCACTCGGGTTTTCACGAAGAACGTTTTGCGGTTTGCACTGCTGTTTGTCATTTGGGTTCGGAGTCTGAACCGCCGTAGAAAGTTGTCTTGAGACCACAAGACGCTGCAAGTGCAGCCTTGAATTCCTCTAGTCTCTGTTTCGCTTCGCTCCTCAATGGGGTTGCTGCTGTCGATTCTGATTGTTCCCTCACCGTGCCCGAACCTACCCTACCCGACGCCACCACCCGGACCCGCGCAGCCTGCTGGATTCCAGCCCGAACGAGGGCTTGCTGGTGCTGTTGCGTCAGCGCGGCTTCGACGTGCGGTCGTGTGGCACGGCTGATGGAGTGACATGCGTGCCGTGCTCTTGGATAGAGTTGTATGCTCAGAGGAGGTGAGGCAGTCGGCGCGGGGCCGTCCTAGTACCGTGCTTGCAGATATTAGTACGTGCTGATAGGTTTTGATTGTTTCTGTAATTGCCGGAGTTCGCGTAGGGGGTGTTTTGCGTCGACCTCATTGTCGTGATGTATGGCAAGTCTCTGGTGTGGGTGTTGACCGCGATCCTGATGTCGTGGCACGCCGGGGTAGCTAAGCTGCTGCGAGAAATTCGTTTTTTTGCCCCGCCCGCTGGCCGATGTATGCATATGGCTGACTGGCTGTTGCATCTTTTGATGTTGTGCTGGGCCGGTGCTCTTTCTTGCTTGTCGCTTGCAGACGGTGGTACGCAGGTTCACTTGTGGCGGTTTCATCCCACTTGACGGGGAAGGAGAGCTACTTCCAGGCAGAATGGCATCGATGGATGTGAGATGTGGCTGGCTCGCTTTGGAGGCGGTGTGGTTACTCGCAAGTATCAGTTGATTATGACCGGAGCTGAGAAACCCCTTGATTGATGTCCGTGCGTTGTTTCTGTCGGTTGCTGTTCTGGGGCAAGAGGTAGGTATGCTTTTGTTGGTTTGTTCCGCCAGAGGCCGATATTGCGTGGCGTATGGAAGGACATATTTTCCACTCTGCTCATGGCCTGCACGGTACTTGCTTATCTGTGTTGAGAAGAGCTGGTCGTCTAGATTGATCCCGCCACCGAGGAGATGATTGCGATTACTGTCGGTGCATGACAAGGATATGTACACTCACCAATGACACACTGCTGTTTCGACCTACTTCTATTTTTTGTCGGTGCGCTTCCTTCGAACGACTCGCTTGGAGACCCTGGAAGGAATCTATCGTGTCACACGTTGGCAAACCCCCCCTCATCCCCACCGCCTCGGTGCTCCTGCTCGCTCTTGTTGCACAGCATCTCCTCGTATGCCTTCGTGGCCAACGTGTTTCTCCACAGCGGCCTGGCTTTGATGCCCGTGTTACTCGCAAAGGGCATCCATCGACTCGTTTTATACGACGAAAGGTACGCTGGTAAAAAACCTTGCTGGTAACAATGTTAATATTTCTATAGTGCAAGTACTTCGAGAAATACTTGAAGGTTGTATGGTAACGAAAGTGGTCGCCTGCAGGTCCCTCGTGTGCTTCATTGCACTGGACCGCTGAGCGTCTTCGAAATGTCTCCACAGATACGATCATACGATCATACACTGGAGTTCTACCTGATTAACCGCGCGCCCGTGCCTTGTCTCCCTGGATCCTTTGCTCCTCGTACTGCTGTGCCGCATTCCCTTTCCGTCGCTGGTTGACAGTCGAGGCGAGTCTGATGATGAGTGGAACAACGAGTGGAGTGCGTGGCAGGAGGAATCAGCCGACGACGACATCGATCGACACACAAACCTGGACTGGATCGTTTTCGCGCTGGTTTGGGGCTTCTTGCTGTTGAACGTCGGCGTCTACCTCACCCGGTCACAGGAGTAAGACAGCGTTCGAAACAGAAAGACATGGAATGACCAAGAGTAGACCGACGGCACCAGAGAAATCGATGTGGTCTGGTGTTTTCAACGACACCGCCGGTAACCAGCGGGTCGCGTTTCTACCAGTTCCTAAGGTTCTCGTTCTCACGTTGAGGAGAACCCGGCGCTTCGGATCAGCACCCGGCATCATCTACCTTCCGTTGTGATTCGTGTTCCCAAAGGCGCACCCACACTGAAAAAGCAAGACGCGGCGCCAGTGAGTGACGTCGAAACCGATGCATAAAAATACACGATTCAACGCAAACAACATTTTTAAAAATCAACTCGCTTCTCCCGCGTTTTTTTTTTGTGTTTGTGCGTGGTGTGAAAATGTTGGGATCGACTGGGCGACGACTTGTTCAAGTCAACTGTGGATGTGGATCAACGTGACATCAGTGCTGTGGATGCTGCTCTGCGCCGGGACTCTGATTGGCTCGGGTTTTGCGGTCTCGCCGTTAATTCCCGTCATGATCGCGATAATCCCACCGGTGCTGGCGGGGTTGAACACTTCTAGGGGCACGATAGCGACGTGGCGCTACCTCTGTGTCGCAGCCGTGCCTTTCGTTCTGCTTACCACCGTCAACTCCGTGTTGGTTTTGCTCTACGCCTTGGCCACCCTCGATAGGTGAGTCGTTGGTTCAAACCCGGTTTTCGTGCGTTGGAACAGACACAGTTGGGCGGTTGGGGCGTGGCTTTTGGAATTAGTTGTACGCGAATTGTGCACGACCCAGGATTTGTGTCGTAGGGATCCAATTTCACGCTGGCACGGGGAGTGGTTGTCATGGAGTGCTGAGATATCAGGCATGACGGGCGTTGTCCGTTTTTGGTGCCAGTATTTTGTTAGCCATAGTCATTTATTATTTGGAGGCTCACACGACAAATGTTGGTTTCCTGGGTGCGCATCCTAACCCCTTGTCTGCTCCCTCACTACTGCCCTTCGCCCTCATGGTTTCCCGGTGCGGATGATTTTTGTCCTTTGAACACGACGGGGCGCGTGGTCGCACGGAACCGCATCGAAAACCCATCTATTTCGATAGCACGGAATGGGGCACTCGTGATGTGGGGTCGTTCGACAGTGGTGTGAGCAAGCTACGCGCAGTATCTATGCGCCGGAGGAAGCTGTGCATCCTTTTGACCACCATGGCCACCTCCTGCGCATTGGGCGTTGTGGTAAGGAAGGAGGGGGGCAGATGCGAGTGAACGAATGGGTGTTTAAACAGTTGTCAATTGGGGATGAGTGCAAGTTTGTGCCTCTGGACAAGGTCGCGATTGCCCTGTTTGCGTCATCACCTCGCCGAAGCTCGTTGGTCACGCACCAACTGACTGGTGTGTCGCACGTATGCAACATATGGTTGGCATTCTACGGGCTGTTTGGTTGTTCTGCTTTGTTGACGTGTTGGTCGTGCGCGTGCTAGCCGGCTCATCCGTTCGCTGATTCCATGCGGCCCTCTTCGTCTTTATCACAAGCCCCCCCCCCCCACAACTCTCTCGCCGTTCCTGTCTTTCCTCGCTTGCGCGTTCGTATGTCCGCAGATGATGATTTCCTCTACGCTCACCTTTTTACTGATCGTGATCGGAATTCCGTCGGCGGCTTACCTGCTCAAGGTGTGTTCTGTGGTCTGTGTGCAGCGTTTGCGACCTTGCGCTAGTAGTGTAATAGCAAGATCGGAAGGTGAACAACGCCCTTGGGCATCACCTTTGTTTTGCCTGGAACACTCTCCCGCCTTTCAGTGGTGAACTGGAATGATGCAATTTCTTGTGCAAAGAGGCGTTCGCAGTGGGAACGTACGGGGCCAGTCGGGTAGGCAGAGGGGTCCCGGTCTGAATGTGAGGGGGCAGGCAGAACAGCGTCGAATGCGGTCCATTGGTGGCAGCCAGCTCACGGAGACGTGAGAGTAGCAGCAAACGAAGTGGCTGACTCCTGAAGCGCGTATATATGAGGCGGACCAACTTGGCCGCTTCGAATACGGTGCCCTGCTTGTGCTCATTCTCTGTCCATTTCCCCTGCCTGTCTCTCCCTCTCGCTCTTGCTTCTTGCCGACTGTTTATGTGTGCCGGCTTTTGTTTTTACTCGTGAACAGCTACTGCTTGTTGTTGTCCCCGCAAAGCTGGAGAGGTCGAGGCAGACTGACCTCCTTGGGGATGTGGGTTGCAGGCCTCTCAGGTAAGAACACCCGGCAGGACTCAGCGGGGAATGATCAGTCGTAAATTCTAATGGATTTTGGGGTTTTCGGTGCAAGCCGCAAGCTGTATGTACGAGTCTTTGAAGCCATGAGCTCGAACTCCAGTGCCTTGATCGCGTACACCTTGCTGCGAGTCTCGCCTGTTTTGGCTTCGCTTCGACGAGCTAGGGGCTTGGATCACCCGCCTCGCCCGACCGACACGTGACTCCGCATCTCTTGCCTCGGTTGCTCTCGTGTTTTTTGTTTTTTTTGTTGTCAAATATTATGCGTCCCAACAGTCTCCGGAGAAACGTTGCAGAAATGGCCCCGATCAACGGTTGCCCTCCAGAGTTCAGCACTGACCGCTACGGCGGGGGCGGTCGAAACGGCGGAGGCGTCGGCCAGAAGGGCCTGGGTCCCAAGAGCCCGGCCAAGACCGGCAGCCATGTCACGGCCGAGGACGGCACCCCTTCTCCGGGTGACATGGACGTCTCCACATCGGGATCCTTTTTCGGTGCGGGGATGTCTGTCGTGGGAGATTCCAGCGCGAGCGGGCCCGCGGCCGACGGACCGGGGCACCGGCGCCGTGGGTCTAAGTCTGCGTCGATATCTAGCGGGTTTGCGGGAGTCGCGGGCGTCGGCGGCGGCGGCATCGGGGGCGGTGATATGAGCTGGTCTAACTCTGCGCACTCTGCTGGGTCCAGGCGGAGCAGCGCAGCTGGCATGGCCGGCAGCGGAGCAGGCGGGAGTACCAGTGGCAGGGATGGGAGTGCGGCCGGCAGACCCAGGGCTCGAAGCAGGAGCCCTTCGGGGGCCGGTTCGGGTTCTGGACAGGACGTTTCCGAGACGGCAGCAATGGCCACACAAGGAAGAAACAGGAAGACCTCGAGCGCGCTTGGTTCTGGGTTGAGAGCGAGCTTGAAAAGGATGAACAGCCGAGGTAGAAGCTCAAGCACGGGGCCGTCGAGCGCCGTTGGCGATGATGCGCACGGCGTTGCCGTCAAGGGCGCTCGCCGTACAGGCTTTGCGCGATTTCTGTCCGCCAAGGACAGTGTGGAAGGAATAACCTTGGACGGAGCCAAGCCCACAACCAGCAAGAAGGCGGAGATTCGAAAGGCTTGGGGGCTCAGAAAAGCGACGTCTGAGAGCGATGATAGCACGGAGATGTTTGTCATGGAGTCTTTGAACCGCAAGCTCAACCCTCATGGCATCCGCGGCAATTCCTCCAGCTGTCCTCCGGATTCGAGTTTCGCGGAGTCGCCTTCTCCAGCATTCAGACAGCAGAACACAGCTCTTGCTGCTGCTGCTGCTGCTGCTGCTGCTTCTCCTGCTTCTCCTGCCGCTGCTCCTGCTGCAACCGCTTCCTCTCCTGCTGCGACCGTTGCTGCTCCTGCTGCGACCGCTGCTGCTCCTGCTGTGACCGCTGCTGCTCCTGCTGCGACCGCTGCTGCTCCTGCTGCGACCGCTGCTGCTCCTGCTGCGACCGCTGCTGCTCCTGCTGCGACCGCTGCTGCTCCTGCTGCGACCGCTGCTGCTCCTGCTGCGACCGCTGCTGCTCCTGCTGCGACCGCTGCTGCTCCTGCTGCGACCGCTGCTACGGCTGCGCCCGCGGACGGTGAGGTAAGGCGGTACAGCTGGGCGTGTCCGCAACCGTCCACGAGCGAGTTTGATGCACCAGTGTCAAAACCCGACGCCGCCGCCCGTGCAGCTGAGCAGAACCGACGCATCTCGTGGGGCAAAGGTTCCATGGGCAGCGAGGAGTTTGATTCGCAGGCAGCGATCAACACAAAGTTGAACGCGAGGGTAGGAGCCACCAGTATCAGAAGTCAACGCGACGCAATCGGATCGGGGTTTGCAGATGTAGGAAACCGCCGGCGGCCTCCGTCGACAGGCACGATGGCCGGGATCCGTGCTGCCTGGGGCACCTCAATGGGCGGGAGCCTGGACGATATCGCCTGTCCCCTACCGGAGACCAACAACTCCATGCGGAACTCGAGGGTGGGCGCTGTCTATGCCACGGGCATCATCGAGGAAGACGAGGAAAGCGAGAGCGAGATGGAAGAGGTTGACCCGCGTTTGTTCATACCCGGCGTTCAAGGCAACCGCCGGCGAGCCCTGTCCGCGGGCACGCTTGCAGGGATCCGCGCCGCGTGGGGCTCATCGCTGGACGACAGCCAGGAGGACATCCCTTATACCTCAACCGACAAGATAAACGTAATCCATAACCCCAGGGTGGGTGTCAACAGCGTCCGGGCCCACATTCTGGATGATGAGAGCGAGAGCGAGAACGAATTCGTCGACTCACGTTCGCTTATGCCCGGCATTGCAGCCGGCCGGCGACGACCTTTGGGAGGAGGCACGCTAGCGGGTATCCGTGCCGCCTGGGGGAACTCTATGGGCGAGAGCCAGGACGACATCGCGTGCCCATCCCCCGCGACGGTAAACGCACGCTTGAATTCCAGAGCTGGTGTGGTCTATTCAAGAGGCAGCGACCGTTACGCTAGCGGCCACGTCGTCCATGGGCAGCCGATGCCCGCAGGCATGCGCAACGGAAGGGGCCAACCTGGCTTGGGAATCGACCAACACGATGTTATCGACTACCACAGCACCTCCGGTCGCGGGCAATCGACGCCCACAGGCATGCGCAAAGGAAGGGGCCAGCCCGTCGTGGGAATGAATCACGATGATATTATGAGCTACCACTTTGCCTCCGGCGGTAGGCAGTCGATTCCCGCAGGCATGCGCAGCGCAAGGGGCCAACCCGGCATGGGAATCGATCACGATGATATTATGGGCTACCGCTTTGCCTCCGGCGGTGGGCAATCGATTCCCGCAGGCATGCGCAACGCAAGGGGCCAACCCGGCGTGGGAATCGATCACGATGATGTTGTCGGCTACCGCTTTCCCTCCGGTCGTGGGCAATCGACCCCAACAGGCATGCGAGGAAGGGGCCAGCCCGGCGTGGGAATGAATCACGATGATATTATGGGCTACCACCGTGCCTCTGGTCGTGGGCAATCGACGCCCACAGGTGTTCGCAACGCAAGGGGTCAGCCAGGCGTGATAATGGATCACGACGATGTTGTCGGTTACCACCTTGCCTCCGGCGGTGGGCAAGCGATTCCCATAGGCATGCGCAACGGAAGAGGCCAGCCCGGCTTGGGAATCGATCACGATGATGTTGTCGGCTACCACCTTGGCTCCGGCCGTGGGCAGTCGACGCCCACAGGCATGCGCAACGGAAGGGGGCAGCCCGCCGTGGTAATGGATCACGATGATGTTGTCGGCTACTACGGTTCGAACAAAGCCGTTTCTGCGACACGAAGGCACTCGCGGAGCGAACCCCGCGCGGTCGAAGGCAGCGGCAGCATGGGGCGGGTCAAGGTCGCGGGCAACGGGGCTGTCGTCGGCAGGGTCCGCGACCATGCGAATGCTGCAGCTGGTCACGAACGGGGCAGTGGTGGCGGTGGGCGAGGCACTGCAGGAAGTGACACCCGTGGTCAACGGAGCAAGGCAGCTGGCGGCGCTGGCGGTCAGCGGGACAGTTCTGGCGGACACACTAGTAAGAGTGCAAGCAACGGCGGGCGTGGTCAAACCTCAGGTAAATTTACTGCGTTTTTCCCTCGTCCCCTCCCCCTTGTAGTTCTGTGTCACAGAGAGGTGGTGTAAAGGCCTTTCTTTCGCGTACGACCCTCTGCCCAACCTTCGCACCACTTTTTTCACGTGTCTCGAGTCTTGCTCTACCGCATAACACGCTCTCGTTCTTCTCGTTCTCGTTTGCATACGGTGTGATGATGCGAGCTTGTCCCGTTTGTCCGATTGAAGCTTGAAACTTGGTCGTCAGCGTGGGCAGCCAGCCAGTGAGTTCATACGCAACCATGGTCAGTTCCGACTGCTCGTGTTAAGTACCGGTCGAGCGCTTGGATGTCCTTTTTAACGAGAAACTTGTTGCTTTCTGGTGACACCCACGACAGCCAAAAGCGCTGGTGGTGGCGCAGGCATCGTCAAACCGGCAGCAACCCGGCGAACCTGGGAACCCGGGCAGAGCAGCGTGTTCGACTCGTCTGGAAGCGAGAACAGCGACGGTGACGGGAAGCCTCGGGGGCTCCGCGGCGTGCAAGTCTTAGACCCAGAGACCCCAGGCACGGACGTCGTGAGCAGCACCGGAAGTGCTACGATCCGTACGGGAGGAGTGTCCGCGAGCAGCTCGGGGGGTTGGGGTGGCCGTGCACATGACAGTGTCGTCGACGACGACGGTTCTCGGGTGCTGGGAGCAGGCGTGTCAAGAAGCAGCCTCAGGTCGTTCCCAGGCCAGGAGGCAAACGGCGGGTCTGCAACGGTGAGCGGCTCGGCAGCCCGCGCCACGGCTGTTGGCGATCCTCACCTGGAGATGCGCAGAGGGGTGCACGCCCGCGGCCAAGGGATGGGTGACGGAGGCGTTTACGATTTTTCGTTCCCGCAAACACGGGAATGAGTGGACGGCTTTGGCCCTTGGGCTTCGGAAAGAATGGGCGAAAAATCGGGACAACCACAGCGGCAGAGGAGATTCTGCGCCCTGTGCCGTGCCGATCCTGTTGGCTCGTTGATTTGGAGCGCCCGCTCGTCCAGAGCCGCTCCTCTTTCCCGTCGCGGACATTGATTCGTGTCTGTGGTGTTTTCTAAAGTGGCGTGTCGGCTGGAGTGTCCCGCCTTCTCTGGTTTTTGTGGTGTACACGTGTCGCATTTCCGCCATCTTGGTGCTGGGTAGGAGGGTGTCGTTGGTTTTTATCGGAACTGTTCTTTTTTCATTCGTTTTGTTGGTAGTATGCATACGTTACCGTGGGGTGGGCAGGCTCTTCGTTTTAAAGCATATCCCGTAGTGTCGTGTGTTGGGTTATGTCCCAATGTTCCCAAGTTTTACCCCGTGATCCACCTAAACTGATATTTTGGATCGTTTTTCGATTGCTGTCCAGGGAGAGTGAAATCTGCCTCTTGTTGAGCTTCGTTGGAACTGGTTCTCGAGACGAGATAGAGTTGTTGGTGGTTCTTCCTTGTCTGCGTCGGATCTTTGGATTTTCGTCTTGATGGCTTTGATGGCTGTTTGAATACAACGCCGATGCTGCTGTGTCTCAACTATAGGCTGGATTTGTGTTGTGATACAGTCGTTGTCCTACAGTTGTTGATGGTTTTAGTTTCGTTTTGCTTGCCGTCAAGTCAAGGCGTTTCTCGTGTACTCGTATTTCTTGGGCATTGCCCATCCCTCTCTTCACAACTACAGTGCCTCCAAGTAGATTTTTTTTAAGTCAAACGGCCAGCCCGTCACACAAAAGGAGACACAGGAGAGGGCAGCAGCCCATGCACTGCTGCGTCCTGTTAATTGTTAGGTTTGCGTCATCACAGCTTCATGTATGTGTGAGATTGAATTTTGCAGCTCAAGTAGGGTTTGGGGAGCATGTAGCCATCTGCCAGTTGCCGCGGCAGCGGCAGCGTGTTAGTTGAAAACAGAAAACGTAGACATGCAAGGACTGCTGTATCGATCTTGTGAATGTTGTACATGGCTGGTTATTTTGGTTGAAAACAAGACGTTTGGGTGAGGAGGGGGGGTGCAGATCTCGCGAACAGCAGCAATGGTATATTTTTTGGAGGCTTCTGTTTTACATTTCCCGAGCTATGTTCTAATTTAAAATGCCGAGGACCCCGTTTATGTAGTATCCTTATCTTCCCTTTTTATGCGAGTCCTCGCTTCCTCCCTCCTTTTTACACACAGTGAAGCAGTTGGCAGCGGGAACGGTGCAGCCCGCTAGCTTAACCGCGCTGAAGTCTTTGTTACCGTCTCCTGCTTCTTATATTACTCGTTGCCTGCGTGCTTGTGTATTTGCTCAGGAGAGCATGTTTCTTTTTTGCCCGAGGTTGTGTGGATATTCTATCTGTTTGTAGCGGCTGAGCACATACTAATTTGTCAAGGCGCGAGGGTGGCGAGAGAGCTTGTGCTGTGTGCGTGCCTACTGCCGTCAAAACGTACCAATAATTTGCAATAATTTGTACTTTAGCACGGTTTGTTTCGAAACGCAACATACTTGCATTTGTGGGAAAGGTTTTTCTGATTGTCTGGGGGGGGGGGGGGGGGAATTCCCACAAAGGGTGGGCCCGGGGGGGAGTTGATCGTTCTTTCTTGGGCGGAAACTGTTCCCCATTTTTGT